CACTTTTACTTCACTACATTTCCGAACTTAATTTCATACTTTCACTCCGATACGTTTTCAATGTGTGGTTTAGTTACTCGTTACAAAAAAGCGAGAGAGAAACGCAAGTGTTTTGATCCCATCTGCTGATCGACTGCAACAAAGTCTGCTTGCCTGGGCTTGTCCATCACCACCAATAGGATGCACAAGTTTCGCTCCTCCCCACCTACGTCAGAAAGTCCAGCAAACAGTCTGATTGGTTAGTGCTCCGTTCGTGTAGGTTTGTGCGGTTAAAATGTTCATTTGTGCAGCTTTGGTTTCCGAGATATTAAAATGATTTTTTAGGCCATCCAGAGTAACCATCCCCCCATTTTGCTCCCAAACAAACCAAAGTGGGCTGGTTCGTTTGTGCCGTTAAAACAAATGCAGCAAAGTTGTTTTCAATTTGGATTTTGACTGTTCCAATATCCGGTGTGAGCGGCGTCTAGCTCAAGGTTGATCCGATTCATGAACGCTAATTTCGGCCAGCCGTTCTCTGGGTCTCCCCCTTCCTCAAGGTGTCGGAGTTTCACTCAGGGAGAGTCAACACATTTTACATCCAAACTCTCCTGAGAAACTAATGGAAATAGATTTCTTGCCTTGTGACCAACTGACACAAAATTCATGACACAAAATATTGAGTATGAATTAGTCATTCTCAATATTTTCAGTAATTGTAATCTATATTTTGGATGGCCTAAAAAATAATTTTTAATATCTCGGAAACCAAAGCTGCACAAACGAACATTTTAACGGCACAAACGGAGCACTAACCAATCAGAGTATTTGCTGGACTATTTGAGTAGGTGGGTGTCAGCTTCACGGAGGTCTGTTTCGCTTCTCCCATTAAACACCAAGTTAACTAAAAAGCTCTCCCTCTTCAGATGCCAAATAAGCTGCATTTCCCTCCCAATTCTTTTTTCTTTTGCATAATGACCAGTTGTGTGCACCTATAGTTTGTGAAATAGAGGAATCGTAACGTGTTTTTTTCTTCATGTTAGTCGCATTTTCTGTACTGACTATTTATTTTTCTCATTTTCAGCACTGACCTTACTGAAAAGGAAAACTTGAGGCTTATAGAAACTTTGTATTTTCTGTCCTGGAGGGTTTACCAAGAAGCTGGTTCAGTTGTAAAGCAGGTTAAGTTAACCTTGTGATTTAAGTAAAGCACCTAATTTTCTTAACTAACTGATGCCTGCAGGTTTATCTATTAAGCAGGTTTCATTTTGCCTGCACTTGGTTGTGTACATTATTTTAAATGTATTTGACAAGTTTACCAAAATATAAAGAATGTCATTCAAACTGCATTTGCCTTGTTTTACTTTTTACTTGTACTTTTCATTACATTACTTGAGTACATCCATTGTTACAGTAATTTCATACTTAAGTACAAGATATTTCAGGTACTTTAAGACTTTAACTCAAGTAACATTTCAATCAGTGACTTTTACTTTTACCAAAGTCATATTTTGGAGCGGTACCTATACTTTTACTTGACTCCGAGATTTCAGTACTTTATACAACACTGACAGTTTCAGGTTAGAGGTGTTGCATGATCAAACTGGAAACCACTTAACCCTTTAATAACACTTGCATCATTTTTCTAAGTGTGCATCATATAGTTGTCCTTTTTTTTGTTTTTTTTACCAGGAGCTGAGCGATGATTTGTATCAGAAGATAGCAGCAGAGATGAACCTGTCAGAAACAGCTTTCATCACCTTGATCAACCCTACAGATACTTTCACTTCTGGTAGCTATTACGTTACTATTATCTCCTTCATGTAGACAAAGATTAGACAGATTTATACATATATATTTTAAAAACGGCGATGCAATTAAACAGGAACAAGGTTTCGCCTCAGGTGGTTCACACCGACCGTGGAAGTGAATCTGTGCGGTCACGCCACCCTGGCCTCTGCAGCTGTGCTGTTCCAGTATAAAAGTAAGACCAATACACACACGAACGCCTCGCGAGGACGTAGATTCATTCAAGACTTTGTCAGCTTGCCAATGTTTGTAAAATGTTTGCGTCATGTCCTCAGGTAACGTGAATCCAACGTTGGTGTTTGAGACGAGGAGTGGAGATTTGGGTGTGAGTAAGGGAAAAGAAGGATACATCATGGACTTTCCTCTAAATCCACCAACCAAGGAGGTGAATCACATGAACACGTCAACACAAACCTGCAAAAAAATCAGCAATCTAAAATATGTTCTCTCTGGAAAATGAACAAATAGGTATATCTGTCTTATGATGTGCCTTTTGCTGAAATAAAGCAAAAATGCTTCACAAATAGAAACCACATTATATGTTAAATATCATTAAATAAGCTGTTTCTGTCGACTTAAGTTGACGTAATTTCTGTGGTTACATTTTTAAGATTTTGTTTTCTGATACAGTTTATTTCAAATGCTTTAACTGACATATTCGCATATTCTGTAGCATGTATAATAAAGTTTGACTATAAGGAAATCTGAAATGACAAATAAAAGAATAAAAAACATTTTTTTATATATATTTTAGAATCACAGTGACTTTAAAGACATCATAAAGGTCAGTGATAAACATCCCCACCATCGTCTCTCAGGCAGACTACATGTGTGTGAAACAGTGTTGCTGTATTTATATTGCTATTACAGGCGGCTGTAGGAAACCACCCGGTTCAGGAGGTTCTTTTGAGCCGTGACACAAAGAAGCTGATGATCCGACTGTCGGACAGCTGTGAGAGGTCATTTTGTCCACAAACACCCAGAAACCAGCCAGATCGTCAAAATGCTCACATCTCTGACCTTCTTTCAGAAACCACTGAGCCGAGTGTTTGCAGTGTGTGTGTTTTGTCTGCAGGTCGGCGTTAACCGGTCTGAAAGTCGACCCGGTTGCTCTTCAGAGCAGCGACTCCAGTGGCAGAGTGAGAGGAGTTATCGTCACGATGAAAGGCGAGCAGAGCGACACATGAAGAGGCAAAACCTGCAGCTTCATGCAGATGATCGTGTATTATGACTGCGAAAAGCAGAAAGATTAAATGCACACAACAAACTCAAAGTTTGAGACTCATCTCAAAACATTTTCTACAAGACAAACTCGAACATTTCTGAGTTTGAAAAATAATTACAAAAAATGCCGGAAAAAAGAAAGAAATTATGAGATCAATCTCTGAATTTAAAAAAAATGCCAGAAAAAAGAAAGAAATTATTAGATCAATCTCTCTGGAGATTTCTGAGTTTCAAAAGTGGAAAATGTGCTAGAAAAAAAAATCAGAAATTGTGAGATTAATCTCAGACATTTTCTAGGAAACAAAATTGAAAAGTTTGTTTGAAAAATGCAAAAAGTTACTAGAAAAAAAATTACATTCTGAGATATCAGAAATTTTCCAGAAGAAACATGAAAATTTCTGAGTACCAAAGGTTAAGAAAAAAATTAACTTTTGGAAATTTAGAAATCGTTTACATTTTTCATAGATTAATTTCAGATTTTTATACTTTTCAAACTCCATAATTTCAAAAATTTTCTACTAAATTTCTGATATATCTCAAAATATCAGTTTTTTTCTAGAAATGTTTTGTTTTTGGAAGATCTGAAATTTCCTTGATTTCTCTTGAGTTTACTCTTATTTTTCCCTCTACAATAGTCCTAATTCTCTGTCATAGTGTTATTATTGCTCTGTCATTTAAATGTTCCTCTCAGGGTCTCCAGACTGTAAGCCAGGATTCGACTTCTACTCCCGGGTCTTCGCGCCGTGGGCCGGAATCCCAGAAGATCCCGTCACCGGTGAGATGAGCGCAGTGCAGTACCTACCGCGGCCACCAGGGGCCCCCAAGAGCAATTTATTTATTTATTTTTGCCCATAAAATAAAGATTTCTACATATATGATCAAATATATATTACTGTAATAACAAATAATACACAGTGAAATTGTGCTTTTGTTTTTGTAATGACAGAAATCATCACTTTAAAAAATCAGTTCTACTGAGGGGCCCCTCAGTGGCCTAAGGGCTCGAAGTGGCTTCTTGGTTTGCTTATGCCGTGGGCCGGCCCTGGATGTACGCTCTCACAAGGGCTGCTTAATTATGATCTTTATTCTGCTGTAAAGGAAAAAAACAGGTTCAAAATAAAGATGGTTCCATATTGTACACGACTGCAATAAATGTGAAATAAATGTGAAATAATGTGAAATAAATATGAAATCAGTTCTTCTGCTCTTTCAGGTTCTGCCCACACCGTTCTGGGAAGCTACTGGTCCGACATTCTTGGGAAAAAGAAAATGCTTGGTGAGTAGAAATAAAGAGTCGGAGCAGCTTCCAGGTTTTAGCAGGAGAGACAAACAGAGTATCATCTCATTTTCTGTCAGATGTCATGGTGCGGTCAGTAACCGTCCTGGTTTTGTGTTTTTGCAGCGTACCAGTGCTCGAGTCGTGGAGGAGAACTGGACCTGGAAGTGAGAGACGATGGGAGGATCAGCATAGCTGGAGACGTCACCACTGTCCTGCAGGGATTCATCAGGCTGTAGAGAAATCAATTAGGATTTTAAATAAAACAGATCAATTAGTCCACACTGATCAGTTTGGTCATTTCTCATTTCACCTCATTTTAATGTAGATGTTAACATGCTTTGTTAGTTTATGTTAATGTAAGTAAATCAGCCTCATAATAATGTAGAGGATGAAATATTTACCTTCCTATTAAACACTTTCATTACACATTCAAAGAGCAGTTGACTTTTTCCTTGTGGTTTTATAAAGTAAAAAGGAAGAAAAAACCCATTTGCATAATGGATGTTCAAAATCTTGGCCAGAAAAAACTTGAACTGAGTAAATAAATTGCATTTCTCACTTCTTGTGGAGGATTTACAAGCCTCAACATGTCACGTTTATAATATTCAGGATCAGCAAAGAGATTATTGTAGAAAACCATAAAAATACAGCGAGAGCATTTTAACTTTGAGGAATATTCAACGTACAACAGGAACAAAACAGCACATTTTTAAAAATAATTATTTATTCACGTTCCAAGACAAAATTAAAAAAAAAAAGTAAATCACAAAAACCAAGAATATCTGAGTTCAGTTTGGTCTCATTTCTCCAGATTCATGAATCTGATGAACAGAAGGTGGAAAACATCACTGCTTTAATTTGACATTAAAAATACGGTATAGACTCTAGAGGATTGGTCTGCAGATAAAGTACACCAAAGCAATATTCAGCTGTTACTACTCTAAAATAAAATCAGTGACTACATGTTATCAGCATTCATTAAAGTGGACCAGTTTGGTTGAACTGCATGAAGCCACGTTGATGGAAAAGTCTCCAAGTTTTCTGTTACAACAAATAAAAACATATTTTACTATCACAGGTCTGAGCTGCACGATGTTTTGTCAGAAACTAGAAATTATTCACCAGGACTTGGAAAAATGAAACGACACCTTTAAATAGCGAGCTTGTGAATGAGATACCGATAGTTACACCTATTAATGACATTAATCAGAGGTATTTAATAAAACTAATAGCTTAAAAATCAAGTATCACAGTGTAATTATTCACAGTAATTTCCAGTAGAAGCAGTAAAACTGTCAGTTCTTCTAGTATATGTTCCACATTAAAAGCAAAAATATATTTATGGAAAGAGAAAGTAAAAAGAAAGATTACTGCACAACTGTTTTTTTTGCAACACAACTGAGGTTTTATATTTTAACTTGAGTGGTGGGAGGAGTGATTTTTTTCCCCATGTCTCCTGATGAACATCCAGGTAAGTCTTTTCGTCAGCTGCTTCCCTGAGAGTGCGCTGGTTCACAGGTGCATGCTGGGTAATGCCATGTGAGCAGCTGAAGGGAGCTGGATGATGTGAAGGAACGGTTAAGGAGAAAAACTGAAGACGTGGATTAAAAAGAAAGATGCGATGAGAATGTGAAGCATACACACTTATTTAAACAACCAGCACAACGAAGTCACAATCAAAACTGTCAGATGACTGATTACCCCGCGATAATAACTCAGGAATAATCCAAATTAGGATGCACTTTTATTTATTTCCTTCTTACAGAAACTTTCTGTTTATATTATAGGTTTTTGGTGCCTTTCTATACTAAAGGAAAAGATGTAAAACTTCAGATATTTCACAAAGAGATACTAATATTCATGGAAAAACCTCATAACCTTGTATTAAAGCAGAAAGTGCGGCGGCCACCATAAGAAAGGCTTACAGTATTTAATTATGCCGCATAACTGATCAGTACAGTATAAAAGGGAACGCAAAAGAAAAAAAAATGTCCCAAGTTCCCTAATGGCTCCGTAGAAATGAGTTGAGACATTTTTCATTAATTCTTGTTTTCTGTTAATCATTTTTTAAAATCTAAGTTCAAATAACTTATTTGTTGAGGATATCATGTTGTGCTGCAGTAAATGTTGGAGCAGCTTCTCCACGGGTGGGTAGCGCCGCAGCGTCGCCGCAGAGCCCACCATCAGCAGCTTGTGTTTCGCTCTGGTTACAGCCACGTTCAGACGCCTCCAGTCCTTCAGCAGCTCCCCTAGCTGGGCAAATACACGGGGCAACATGAGGGCAGGATCGCGATCAGGAGAGAAACGCAGAAGCTGGGAGGAGAAAACGCCTACGTTTCCTTCCTCTGCGGAGCTTCTGACAAACGACAGAACAATCAGACTCTTGTCCCGTCCCTGGTACCGGTCCACCGTGTTGACCTCCACCCCGGAGAAAACAGGGGACTGCAGCAGAGCAGAGATGCACTTCAGCTGCTGCCTGTAGGGGGCGATAACTCCAATATCACCAGGTTTACACCCAGCCTAGTGCAGAGAAAACAGGAGGTTTTAGAGCAGAAATACAAACATTAGTATAACTATTTATAAAACCTGTCATAATGATAAATAGTCCCAATAATTACTGTAATAAACAACAGTATTGTTGTTTTTTATAATAATCCAAATTCAGTCTCTGAAAGACCAATAACATTAAATTTTGTATAGAATACTGGAAAATATTCAAATATCAAAAAAAAAAAAAAATTAACAGAAATATATATAAAAAAATAACCCACACAACCAAAGTCATAAGTAAAACGTAAACAAAATGTAACCCTTATGAAGCTCATATTAATTTATCATGGGATTATCATTGCTTATTGCATTAAACTTATTTTTGCCCTTATAAATTGTTAATTTAGAAGCAAACGAACCTTTATGAGGAGAGAAAGCATCATGTGTATGAGAGCAGCTTCGGTGCGATTGCTCACTCCTCCCTGTTCCACCGACTCCAAAGCAGGAACCTGCAGGAACCGAAACTTTCACACATAATCCACCATAAATGAGTCCTGCAAGTCAAAATATCTTGTTTCATGAGTCAGAAACATATTTTTAATAAATACGCCTGGACACATAGAAACAGCTGCAGTATTTTACAAACCGCTGAGCAGTCGAGGAAGCAGACGGGGTTGGAGGGCAGCAGCGCCGCCTGCAGCCAGGACGGGTCCGGCTGGGGACGAGTCTCGGCGCAGGACGCGAGCTCCGATTGGACGGACGGCAGCGAGGGCAGCGTGAGCAGAGCCGAGGCCGTCCGTTCAGATCCACACTCCAGCCGGCCGTTGTACATCAGAGAGTTACTCAGAGACATGATCTGACTAGAATAAAACAGAAGGTAAAACACTGTTTAATAGATGCTAAATATTATTTAAAAAAAAACATCTTAAAGCAAGCTGGAGAAGACTGCTGGACAGTTAAATCTAAATCACTTCATCTTTATTAATAATTTTTTAATTTATAAGGACACTATCCATCTAAACTCGCTTGCATTTTGAAGATCACATGTTTTTACAGGGTCAGTTGTGGCAGAAAGTGTTCATAAAACAACTCATTAAACTGTTAAAATTTTAATAAATAGCCGTCTCTGCATTCACACTGATGTAATTTAGCAGCATACAGAAAAATACTGCTTTGATTTGATTAATAAAGTAATATGTAAGCACATGAATGTTGTAAAAACTTACAAATTATTTCCATATTCATAGTACAATCAATATTTTTTTCCAGAGGCGACAAAGAGAGGAAGCTTTTTGAGTTTTGAAAAGATTTCGTGTTTGAAAATGCTCCTAATCTTTTTCAGAAACATTACCAGTCTCTTTAAATTTAGCTTTTAACAGATTGAGTGTCTTCAGTCAGAGGCTTCTCTGTAATACAGACTGCTACAGGAGATCTGTCCTGCAAATAGCAATCTCCCTCTACAACATTTAATTTGTCTTTGGGATAAACAAAGAAATTTTTGAATATGAATTTATGTTTTCAGAGTGCACAGGAGCAAAGCAAAGTTTTCCCCAGTAATACTGTCTTTATTACTTTTATTTTACAATAACCCACATAATCTTTACTGCAGAAGCATCCAGTTTTCTCTCAGCTGTGTTTACCTGTTCATCCGGTACTGCAGGTTCAGCTGCACCACTGCTTCACTGTGGAGCTCAAGTCGCTTAAACAGACTTTCATCCATCCCAAGAGACCTTAAGAGGAAAATAATAATAATAATAGCACATTTGAAAGCATCACATTTTTCAAGACTTGACAGTTTTTAAGTCTCTTTTCTTTGCTGTTGAGCTGCGCCGCATCAGTGATGAAATATCCTCCACCTTGCTTCCTGGTTCTGAACAATCGGCGGCAGCTGCTGATGATCTCCAACCAGGACAAACCGCTTGGCGTAGAAAAGCGGACCCAGACAGACGGGCTGGCTGATCTGCGACGCCTCGTCTACGATGCAGAAGTCGAACCGCCGGCGTGTGAAGATCGGATGCTTGATGCCCATGCATGTGGTGGCTACAACCAGCTGGAACCAAACATGGCAAGATTATTAATTCAGAAGAAATAAAAACAAATGATGAATTTTGCTGAATAATAAATTGTCACAAAAATTATTGCAATAAAGAATAAGAATGTTGTGTTGAGGTCATTTTCAGATAATTTAATGGTATAATAAAACATTCTCAAAGACGAATAGACTCAATATCTCAAACATTTAACACTGGAACGGCAAGACATTTTAAATATCCAAAATAAATAAACAACAACTAATAAAATTAATCATGAGGTTTTTGTAATCAAAATTATCCTTCAGAAAGATCTAAAGCGCCGGACTGAAGACTTTTGTCATCCAGTTTTTAGTAGAAAGAGAAGAATGATAAATCCTGCAAATGGAAATTATTGAGTTCATTTTAATTTGTCATGCGATTAATTTCTAGCAACAAATACCAAAAAATGAAAAACTTCTCTTCACTTCTTTGCTGTAAAGCTGCTGCAGCTCTGTGAGCGTGTGAACGTCCTTCCTCCTCACGCTCTCCTCTGTGTACGGCAGGATCCCCGGATGGACCTTCTGCCCCTGACCCAGACGCAGGAAGCCGACCCGGAAGCGCTTGAGCTTCAGCAGGATGTTGTCCACAGCAGAGTGGGTGTAGCTGGTCAGCAACACACTGAACCCACAGGCGTGCAGGATACGCACCTGAGGGCGGAGCAGTGATGACGGAGGGAGTCAGCGGGGAAGGAAAAGGGAAACGTTTTGGATTTGTTGGGAGTTCTACCAGTGTGCAGATGGTCGTCGTCTTGCCGGTTCCAGGCATCCCGACGATGAGGGTGAAGTCTTTGGACAGCAAAACCTTCTTCATGGCCTGTTTCTGGGGTTTGTTTAGACCTACACAGACAGACAAACATTAAAACTTTGTTTCTCTCACAGACAAACTAATAGAAATTGCTCCCATGGTGACACATCTTACACACCCTGAAATTAAAATATTAGTCTCTTAGCTCATTGTCTTTGTTTCTCCTAATGTGAGGTGGGAACCAATAAAGCATATTCTGTTCTATAAACATACCACTGATGTATGAGGCTAACCTGAACATTAGCAACAACTTAAAGAGGAGGAGTTCAGATCTAGAGCACCTTTGAGGATGTTGGCCACTGTGTCCTTGGCCTCTCTGGGCAGAACAGAGGTGAGGTTGGTGATAAACTCTGGAGGTCGAAGGTCAACAACCAGCTCCCTGAGACGCTCGCTGCACACAGATGGATTTAAGTCAAACGTTAAGATGATATCTGAAGCTGCTCTGTTCCCCTGATCTCACCTGTCGCCAGAGTTTTCCATGAGCCTGGACAGATTGGTGAGGTGAGTGCTGAGGCCCACCACTCCTTCATCGCTGTCCAGGCGAAACAAGACGCCGCTCAACTTTGACAGGTCCCTGTTGAACAGAAGAAATCAGGCGAAAACCTGCTGAGGCCAACGGGATGAATCGTGAACGCAGAGCCCACCTGTCCAGAGTGCAGCTGACCGACGTCGCGTTGACTCCTTTCAGGTATCCTGTCGCCACGCCGACGAGACGACCCTCTTGGTCGCTGACAACAACGCGATCTCCGCTGCTCAGGCCGCAGTGGTTGGCGGCCTGCTGCGAGTCAGCCGCGCTGCGCAGGAAACGGTGGAGGAAGACGCCTTCAGACTGAGCGGTCACCGACTCGCTGAGCCGCAGGTTCCCCACACAGCTGCCGCTCTTCTCACTGAAAACGCATTAAAGTCGAAACTAAAGAGCTGAAGATTCAGCATGTCAGAGGATCTGATGAGATTAAGAAAAGAATCTGAAGTGTACTGGTGAGAAAATATTGGAACAGATGAATTTGTAGAAGAAATGAGGTTAAAATGATCAATTTCTTTCAGCTTTGATCTAATTTGTTGCTTTATAGTTGATGTTAAGTGGAGCCTCCTGCACTTTTTAAGCGTTTGGGCTGATTCTAGAACCTCTACAGATCCAAATGTTAGAAGATTGTTGTTAATTTTTAAAAAATAAAAAAATGGCAACTTAAAAAAATGGGTTAAAGCCACAGACTGCTACCTCTCCTGGACCGACTGCAGCCAGACACGCTTTCGGACGCTCTTGGCCTCCATGGTGGACGCCTCCAAGCTGCAGAGCAGCAGCCAGTGAGCGAAGTAGTCCAGATGTGGACGGGTCAGGTGGCTCGTCTCCTGCTGCAGAAAGGCTTGCACGGTGTCCTCTTCCAAATCCGCAGGGGTGGAGTCCACCACCCTGGATCGAAGGAGATGAGACAGAAGACAGGCATTGACCCTTCCTGTGGTTGTTTTTCAAGTCTGCATGAGATTTAAAGAGGGTTTACCGCTCATATAAAGCACAGTTTAGTTTCTGAGGGCAGTACTGGCAGGTCTGCCTGCTGGTCAGGATGTCAGGAAGTCTGGACAGGCGACTCCGATCGGCTCCTTTCTCTACAAAGTGTTTAATGTGATGGACCAGTGAGTTCCTCAGCTTCAGCAGCTCTGCAAAAAACCCACAATGCATCACTGTATTGCACTGTTTTAACAAGTTTAATGTGGCCCCATATTTGGCTTTAAAACCTCCACACAACATGACTGTGACACCACCATGTTTTGCATTTTACAACCCTGAACTGCTTTGTTTTTATCTAAAATCTCAATAAAAATACTTTAGAGTTTGAGGTTGTACAGGACAAAATGTAAGAATGTTCAAGAGTGTACGCCTTAAAAATAAAATCAGATTTTATTTTTATACAAGACCAGATTCCTAATTTTGGTCAGTTTTTTTCTCGCTTTTTTCCCCCCCGCTGTGAAACCTGCTGAGGTTCTTTTGGGCTTGCCGTACCTCGGTGGTCCATGTGGCCGGCTGCCACTGGGTGCATGTTCCCCGTCTTCAGGTAAAGCAGAAGTCCGATTTCGGGGCTGTATCTCTCCATGCTCATCAGGGTATATAACATCACCTGCACACAAACAGAACCACATTTACATGGCTGATGATTCTTCCAAACAGCCCGGAAAAGCCCAGGAAGCTGCTCCCACCTGACTGCGATGCTCGATGGAGTTCGACTCCCTGCCAGTCTTCAGCTCCAGCGGGACGGTGGTTTCCTCACTGACTCTGCTGCTGCCGTTTCGCGACCTTTGGATTCGGACCTTCGCCGTCACGTCCATTTTCCCCTTGAGGCCGAATCTGGGGGACCAGACGTTCTCCTCGATGTCCGCCAGCTCTGTTAGTGTGAAAACAGCAGGCGGGGCCTGGCACCTGCTGCCATCCAGCAGACAGACAAACAATCAGCTAATTATCAGCACAATCTGATAATTGGGGTGTTTTTAATCGAGGTTCTGACATTTTAGAGCTGATTGGTTTTGGTGTAGAAGAACAGAGGTATTCATTTGCCCAATGCTCCAGTGATGGGAGGTAATCATGGAGCTCCTGCTGCATCTCCTCCTGACTCACTCCTAAAGCGTACCTGTGAACAACACATGAAGAAGAAGAGTGGCATCATTAGGGCCGCAAATAATGATTATTTTTAATAATCGATTAATCTATACATTATTCTGATTTTTAAATATGGTCAGTTTTTTTATTTCTATTTTAGTCATTTTTAGACATTAGAAATACGTTAAAAGATGAAAATAAACAATGACATCCTTTTTAAATGATAAACGTTTTTTTTTGCATCTACAGGTACAAATGATCTCCAACATCAACGTGTGAGAACCTCAATTTTTTCTGCTTGAATTATCAATATAGTGTAGTAGCAGTGATCAATAATTGGACAGTAAAAGTTTCTCAATACATTTTTTACAGTATTTGAAACCAGCTGAAGCTAAAAATTTGCCTCTGGAGGAGTTTTGGTTCATATTCACAAATACAAATTGTATATTCAAATTATTGGTTTGTAAAATAGAACCTCGTTTTCGGTTTCCTGTTTTGTAATATTAGCTTACAAAAATAAAGTCAATCTGAAATCTGAGCATATAGTTTTTGTACAGTTTTGGCTTAATTGCTGCTCTTTCTTTCACAAAAAAACTTTTTGATAGACTGTCTTTCAGTTAATAATTAATCGATAAGTCATAATGAACCAGATTAATCACTTCAGTCCTAGACGTCAATTATTATAACCAGTCTTTTCTTACATGGACCAGTTAAATAATAGTTAAAATATCTAATCAAACATTGATAACTGATAACGTTCTAATGTGTTTATAAGTAAAGGCAGTGAAAATCAATCCAATCAATTTAAAAACTTAACCTTGTGCATTAAACCTACCGCAGAAATTTAAAGTTCAATATTATTCTCATTAAAATGTGTTATATTCAGATATCTGAGAGAGTTCTTGACTCATTCTGATTGTAGTTTTAAATTTGTGTAAAGGTAAACAGTCTGCAGGACGTTACAGTGTGATGAGACACCCTACATGTCTCCAAGGTAACGGTGATTTCGCAGCGTTTCGTCGGCCAGCTGGGAAAGTTTCTGCAGAGAGAAATCTTTGGCTGAAGCTGCTCTCTGGAAGACTTCATGCACCATGGTGCCATTAAGCATCTGCTTAGAGCCACCATCGAAACTCTGCATCAAAATCAAGAGAAATGCATCATGTTTCCATCGAACACCGATTAAAAGTGTGACCTACAAGTTAAAGTAAGAGCATAACGTTCACCTTGAACATTTCTCCCAGCACTGCTCGCCTCATGCAGCGGATGGAGTTGGAGATGCTGGTCCCTGAGATGAGGCTGTCGGGCTGCAGGACCAGGAAACCCTGCTCCCTGTCGACCAACCAGGTGCCGCCTTCAGAGCGGCCCTCCAGATGAACCACATCGCCGCGGCAGACGGGGGTCAACTCCCTGCAGAGAGATGGAAAGATGTGAAACTTTGAGGCTGACGCACAACGCACAAATAAATAATAATATGACAAAACACAGGAAACAAGAGGCAAAATGAGTCATGATACATTTAGTTCTCATGAAGTTCACACTTTGGGAAGGTTGTAACTGACAGCCATCTTAGTAGGCAGTTGTTATGAGAACAATAACCAAGCCGCAAGCTTTATTATGATGTTTGTAATCAACATCATAATAAACTGTGGAGTGCTTATTACTTTAGACCAACATTTAGCTTTATACTTTTAAGATGGAGAAACTCCTGTAGAACAAACTTACCAACAACCCAGAGCAAGAATCAAACATGGAGAACCGACAGAACAAGAACCAGGAGAAACAAGAACTAGTTTATAAATCAAGGTTTCCCCCAGAAAACCTGTGCAGTTCTGGATCAGGGTTCAGTGAATATTTTATCATATTACTGATTTGTCGTCAAACCCTGTTTCAGTTCCACCCAAACAAGACCTAAAATGAAGCATCCAGCTTGAGCATCATTCATGCTGTTAGTGAAAAAAACAACAACTAAAGAACGTTATTGGTTCTGTAGAAAATGTAAAAGAACTAAAGTAACAGGATAAATATGTGGGCAAGCAGAGAGTTTTACCATCCGTCTTTGAGCAGGCAGGTCTCGGTTGGAAGCAGAGACCTGCAGCATGAGATGCTCAGTGATTTGTGTCCCGGTTTCTCCTCAACGTCCAAAACCAGATATCGGTTATTTGGTCCCTCAGAAAGGATCACATGATCCGGTACCTTACTGTAGAACCAGAAAACATTCCTCTGCGTTTAAAAACAGAGAAATAATATACGCATGTTTTTATTGAGATGCCTTTTAGTCAAAAGAAACGACTCTTACAGATGCTTTTTGGACTTTTCCTCTGCGGCTTCATCATCATCCATTTGGTCAGTAAACCAGCTCTCCTCAAAGCCGTCCTCACTGGGACCAGTAGACGCTTGCCCAGCTTCAGCTGCTTGATGATAATTAGAGAAAAAGCAACGTTAGGAAACATTCCTGTAACAACTAGGAGTTAAAGAAACTGATGTCTAACATTTATGTCTTTGAATATTTTCTTCAGGTCTGCTCTGATTTTAATTTAGTTACATCTTTAACACTTTCTAGTTCTTCCTCATAATCAGCCTCTGGTTCTTTTAAAGGTGACTTATTATGTTTTCTGGAACGAGTTAGGATACATGTTAATTATGTTTTTTTGGAAGAAATCATTTAGATAATGAGGTTTTAGTCTGCTCCTTTCACAATGAGATGTTTTAGGGTCTTTTGTCACTTTTGATCCAAATAAACAGCTGTTGGCCACGCCCCCAACTCAACGATTACGCTCGCATTTATACGACCATACAGCTTCGAAAAGCAGAAGTGGAGGCTCCTGCACAAAAGACAAGAATGCAGCAAGTGGTTTCTGGATGGTAAATCATCCAGAAATGCATCAAAAATCCTTGTCTCTTCCAGCAGCCATTGTACAGCGGTAAAACCAGCTGGTCAACCATGCAGGGAGTTGACCAGCTGGGCTTTACTGGGGTTGCTAAATAATGGCACCAATGCCCACTGACTATGGCTAAATATATGGGAGATTTCTGAACTGGCTCATTTTCCAGACACCAAAAAGTATTAACGTATTACCAAGAACCAGCTGGATGGTCTGTTTAAGCATGGAGAATGCTTTTGGAAGCAGTTGTTACCCAAATTGAAACATAAAAATGTGCAAAATGTGACTTTTGCATAAACGGTCCCCTTTAGATGGCCCTGAAATTTACTGACCTGCTTGTTTGCTATGGAAACATTGATATAGATATTGCTCCTTATCCGAGTGCGTCTTTCTGTGCCCACCTTCATGTGTTTCACGTGTAGCCGTCCTCTCTTTTGGGACCACCTCTAACTCTTGAGCACTTTGTTGAGGTAAAGCAGCAGCTGCAGCAGCAGCAGCGCAGGTGTCCTTCTCCAGGGAACCTTGCACTTCTGTAATCACAGTAAAACAGGAATCCGTCTTTTCTCGTTGCTGCTGCTGGCGTTTCCCGTCTCCTCCCAGAGAGAAGTCTGTTTGGCCGGCAGTGAGAAGAGGCGTCTCTGTGGAGCCAATCAAAGCTTTCTGTGGTGAAGTTCTTGCTTTCTTTGCGTTGTGCGACTCTTCATTGGGGCTGAAGAGTCGCTTCAACTGGCCAGATGACCTATTCACACTCTTATTTACTTCTTCCTCCTCATTCATTATTTTCCCCACTCTGATACTTCTAGTGCTGGGGCTGCGACAGATGAGCGACCGCTGGCATAGATTTGGGTCGGAGTGTGGCTGACCAGCCCGTCTGGAGGGAGAAGAGCAGGAAGGTCTGATCTGACTGCTGGGTGTCTCTGGGACAGACAGGAGGAGGCGGTCTGGGGACGAAGCAAGGACGTTTTCAAGGTCACCGAAGACGCTCCGCCTCGGAGGAGGAGAGCCTAGTCTTAATTTGATTTCTTTAATCTGAGGCTCAGCTCTGCTGGTTGATGAAAAAACCTAAAAAACAGACATTAAGATTGGAGAAGCTTCATTCGAATACAGAAGAAAAGACAATACAGTTCCTTCCACAAGTATTTAAACTCCCCAACATTAAATCGTTATTAAAAAAATCTAATCTGACTAGAGTGGCATACAACTGAATTCTGCTACTTTACTTTAAATCCACTAAATAAAACAACAAACCAACTGAGATTGAAGCACCAAACTGAAGTCTTTTGCAGTCCAGTTTTTGGTAGAAAGACAGAAAAGAGAAAAACAAAAAATCATCCAAATGTAAATTAGTGAGCATTTACCATGCCATTAGTTCATTTATTAAGTCCAAAACTAAATAAATACCCAAATGAAATGCCGTCAGCAACAAGCATTTCTTCAGCGAAGATAACAAGTCAGTCTGCAAAAAGCAAACTCAAAGGTTCACCTTTCAGCAGCACATCGATCATAACCATAAATAAAGTTAATCTACAAAGGAGTGGTTTATGTCAAAGTCCAGATCTGCAGAGGCAAGGCTCGAGTCTAAATAAACACGACACACCCCCGACAGAGCTGGAGCGACTGTCCAAATAAGAATCAACCAAACGGCTTTGTAATCACAGAATAGTTAAAAGTTATCCAGGACTTACGTTTTGGTCTTTGGAGCAGAAGAATGAAGAGATGTTCTGCTGCCCTCCTCCAAACCCAGCAGCCACCTGAGAAAGCCAACCAGTCACAATGAGAAAGCCTCACAATGAGAAAGCCAACCAGCCACAATGAGAAAGCCAACCAGACACAATGAGAAAGCCAACCAGCCACAATGAGAAAGCCAACCAGACACAATGAGAAAGCCAACCAGACACAATGAGAAAGCCAACCAGCCACAATGAGAAAGCCAACCAGACACAATGAGAAAGCCAACCAGACACAATGAGAAAGCCAACCAGACACAATGAGAAAGCCAACCAGACACAATGAGAAAGCCAACCAGACACAATGAGAAAGCCAACCAGCCACAATGAGAAAGCCAACCAGCCACAATGAGAAAGCCAACCAGCCACAATGAGAAAGCCAACCAGCCACAATGAGAAAGCCAACCAGACACAATGAGAAAGCCAACCAGACACAATGAGAAAGCCAACCAGCCACAATGAGAAAGCCAACCAGACACAATGAGAAAGCCAACCAGCCCAATGAGAAAGCCAACCAGCCACAATGAGAAAGCCAACCAGCCACAATGAGAAAGCCAACCAGCCACAATGAGAAAGCCAACCAGCCACAATGAGAAAGCCAACCAGACACAATGAGAAAGCCAACCAGACACAATGAGAAAGCCAACCAGACACAATGAGAAAGCCAACCAGCCACAATGAGAGAGCCAACCAGTCACAATGAGAGAGCCAACCAGTCACAATGAGAGAGCCAACCAGTCACAATGAGAGAGCCAACCAGTCACAATGAGAAAGCCAACCAGACACAATGATGAGGGGGAAACCAAGCAGCAGTTGCAGCTGCATGCCAACCTTATGATCAACTGAAACCATTCCGAGGGTTTTCTTGTTTAAACAGTCAAGACTCAGAGGCAATGAACTCTGGGAAGGTATTGGATCGTTCATAAACTTCACTCACCCTGGTTTTCTTCATCCTGTTCCTGCTCATCGTGACTGAGGATGAACGATAGCCTCTGATCGATCAGGGTGCGGCTCAATGAGCTGAACCTGATCGGGTTGTTGGGCGAATAGTTTCCTCAGCTGACGACGACACAAACACACAAACAAACACACAGAACCGCATCTGCAGCGGATCAACGACACACAAAACTCTCACTAATGAACATTCCGTCACTGCACATCAGTACCGACACATTATTTCTGGAATCACCTCCCTGCTGGACGCTCCTGCGGCTGCTTTCAGGCTGAGGCGCCAAATTTTCAGCTTCGCGCAACGGAAATTACGTCGGCAAACGTTGGGCGGCTTCATTACCAACAGCCGGCGCACAACCTGGTCAGACATGACGGCGTATGGCGAGGGAGGAGAGAAAGAAAAAGAGAAAGAGAGAGAGAGAGAGAGAGAAAGAGAGAGAGAAAAAGAGAGAGAAAAAGAGAGAGAGTGAGAGACATTTTGTCATCCTAAAATGACAAAATGTATGAAACTTTAATACATTCACATTTTATAAATATTTTATTTAGGTTGAACCCAAGCTGTCCTTCAGTACCTTTACACATTTAGGTTTTTCTGTCACCTGGCGTCTTCACAGAACATTCAGTAATCACTGTTTTAAAAACGGATTAAAAATAAAATAAAAACCCTAATCTGTAAATTGAATTTATTTACTTTAATGTGGGTGTTTGTCTCAGTCCTTTTTAAAAGTTGTAAATACTACTTTTAGCTTAAAGTATGCAGTCTATTCTTTTTTATTGTTATTTAAAAACTAGCAGCGTTTTCATTTCTGGTCTTTGAACACATTTCACTTCCAGGCTGTTGTTAAGCCTTGTTTTGGTCATTTAAAAAAAAATCTTTATTAAAATTATAACTGTGCACAAAGTTTAACTTTGAGACAAAATTTTGAGCTAGTTACATCATCAATGATCCGTCACCTGAGCTGTTATTGAGAAATAAACTGTGTGAAGCTGGAGTCCAGCCTGGTCACAGTTCTAGCTGACAGAGACAAAAACTATCTGCTGGAGGCATCATCCTTTATTAATTAAAAAAGCTGGCAGAGCGTGTTTATAATGCTGAATATTTACATTACCACTACAGACTGATGGTGGTTCAGCGCCGTGGTCCATTGGGGTTGTTTATAAATGTCCTTGAGAAACTAGCTGTGACTTTAAGCGACTTGACAAGCAGGATTAGCCAAGGTTGACGAGAGGAGACAGTCTGTGAATCGGAGCTGCCACTGCTGATAAGTTGTTACACCTACGAATTGTCCACAGCTGCCTGCAGTGTGAACTTTGAGTTTCAGCCTCAGACAAACGGTTTGGATTCGTCTCTTTTATTTGACATGGGAAACATCTGAAATTGTCTTGTCAAAGCGACATTAGCTGCGTTTCCACTAACCATAAAATTGAGCAAATTGAAAATTATGAAAATAAACTCACTCAATGCTAAAACAAGAACGTTTTCTGATAAAAAAAAAAAGGTTTGTGCTCGGATGAAGTGGTTTTCCCAGTCATATCGAAAAAGAGGTATTTAGCAAAACTGCACCTCGGACGAATGATCAACAGCCAGATGTTGCTACTGACGAAAACGACAAAGAAGACAACAGGAAGTGGTCAAACATAAATGTTTGTTTTTTTTAGGACAATATGCAGCTGGCTTCAGAGCGTTCACAGCATCGCAAAGTCCAAAAGTTTGTTTCATTCAAATGTGACGTGTGAACAAACATATTGACACGTGATTTTAATTTAATTTCTTGTTTAATGGAACCACCTGGGTAACACTTTACTTTAAGGGGTGTGAGACTGAACCTGACATATCACCCATCATGAACATGAAGGAGTCTTTAATTATGGTCATGAATGCAGATGGGGTGAGGGGGCCAGAAAGTTGGTTCACCCAGGGTGCCAAACAGGCTAGGACAGCCTCTGTCCCTGTTATTATTTATTATGTGATCAAATTATTCCGAGTCTATTTATTCTGTTTTTTGGTTTTCTTTTTTACAAAACCTCCTTTAACACTGACTGAACTAAAGATCTTGTCAGGTGGACTGAATGCCAGCAGGTTGTAGTCGTGTGATGATGAATTTGCTGTCAGGTCGGCTGCTTAAAGGCTTTCACCTGGTTGCAGCTCAAAGCAGCACCGGAGCAACCTCCACCTAAAACCAGCTTAAAGGTTTTGTTTCCAGGATGTAAACCCTCGCTGTCTGAACAGTACCAGAACATCTCAACGCCGCCGCTGATGGATTCATTCAGCCGATCCCTGCCTGGTTCTCCTGCTCCTGCTGAAAGGTCACAGCCAAATTACAGAATTAAAGGAGGAAAAGAAGAGGCAGATGCAAGGACAGCGAGGTAATTGGTCCTTTGTAGACTCATTAGCGGCACATGTTCAACAAAGCAGCTGCATGACCTTTTGATCTCTCTGCATAATAACGACGGAGCTTTTAGATTTGCCCAGGTGTGTGCAGCAAACATTATACCGCTAATAGTTCAAAGTCTGTTTGTCTGCTCTCCACAGGACATCTTTTAAAGTTTTGATTTTTTCTGAACATGTTCAGAGAAAATAAAGCAATATTTTCTCATATTAACATCCTACAAAACCCTCTAGTAACAGTAATTGAAGATGTGTAGCTGCAAGTTATAAAGTTCACTCTGAATCCTTCGAAACGTAAATTACTATTTGTGGTTGAGCTGATTTGAAATGTTAATAAATAATAATAAAATGTTAATAAATGTACTTAAGAAAATGAATCTGTTAAAATCACAAGAAACATAAAAAACTAAGAACCTGCTTAGGGTCTCCTCACCAACAGGGGGCGACCAAGAACACTAAGCTCTAAAATACATTTACATCAATGTGATACATTTCACAGCTCGTTTATGTTAAAAAATATTTCAGCTAATGTAAAACCTTATTTTTTATTATTATTTTTTTACAATTAAAATAGTCGATTTTGAACATAGTTCAGTTTTGCAAATGGTACAGTCACCTAAACTACAGAAAAAACAGCTTAAAATTATTTCCCTATTTGCAAAAATACTTTAATTTCCCTCATTTATCTTAAGTTTTCATTCTCAGTCTTTATTGTAATTGCATAATAAACATTAATGTTCCCAAATGAAAGAGTTTAGTTATCTATAACTTTATTGTTATAGATTCATCTTGTAAAAGCACAAAACATAAACAACATGCCCTCTAATATAGTACCAAATACTTTTGATATTTATTTCGGTGCCCCAAGTTTTAAAGATATTAAAAATCAAAATGATTATGTCCTCTAAGAATAATATTTTAAGTGCATTTTTTGCATAACCATCTGCATAAAAGCAGAACCCATTCTACATTTTTATTTGGAAATACTTAGAAATGACGGCGTGTTTAAAATACTAATTTCTTTGAATCACACCATCAAGAATGACTCAGATTCTTGCAGCAGAATTACTCATTATTGCATTGCATGAAGCTAACGTGACAAACGGTGAGCTTCAGGTTTACTCTGGATTTATCTTCCCAGCATGACAGCTCTCGTTAAGCTGCGTGTGCCAGGAACATCTGCAGCCTGCCGAGCCTCAGCAGGTCCGACTTCATTAGAAATGAACACAATGTGAGTAAAAGTAACAACTTACTAAACCTCACCTGAACGTCACAAGCTCCCTTACAACTTCATTAGTGACATCAGGTGACAAAGCTCCAGTGAATCTCTTTGGTGTTTTCAATCCAGATGATTTTTGTATTCGTTACAAAATTTATTAATTCCAATTAAATGTGATCAGAGCAAACAGGAAAACACCATGAAGGAGACGCAGCGAGCCGCCGTCCGTGAAAACTCCCCAACAGCTGACAATATCACAACATCCCCATTTGTCTCAAACTGGATCAAAGTCCAGATCTGGTTCTGATCGGTGAGGGTTGACGCCTGCTGCCGGTTCGGATGTTCATCTGTAAATGTTCAGATATCTGGCTGAGCATGAAATGTTTTATAGCAAGAGAACCACTTTGCTTTGCGTCGTTTTGATTCAGCAGGAATGAGGAGTGAGAACCTGAAGCTGCTGAATGAATTAAAACATTTGAAGGTGGTTTAACTTGAAACTGAAATTCCACCGGCTGCTTTGACAATTTAAGGAAACTGTTTTGGTTTTGACTCAGAAATTAAAGTTCATGAAGTCGATTTAACAACAAGAAACAAGTTATCTAAACGTTGTTTTTTAGTTTCATTAATCTTGAACTGTGAGATTTAACTTAATGCTGCAATAAACCAAATATTATATATTATCATAACACGCAAGAAAGAAACACTGTCATCATCTGGTTAAGGAGCCACATTTCTTTGTTATTTTACTCACATTATCAGTTAAAATAACTACTTATTTTACTTGAGAATAATTTAAATTCTTGTTCCAAATTGCATGAACAAAATTTCTGATCTGATAATAAATTGTATTAAACATCACAATGAATTCTGCTAAAACATTTAGTGTGAACAGGACATTAAAATAACCATTTGCTTTAACAAAACAAGAGTTAGATCGACGTAACGCACTTCCATCTGGATGCCAAAACACACCGCTATGCATTCTGGGAAATAGTTCCCAATCCTGTCTTTTTCTTCTTTCAGTTTTTGAAGTTTTAACCTAAAACCTTTTGAAAATTCAGCCCGTTTTGTGGCCAAATGTATCAGTGGAAGAGCGGCAGAAAAAAATGGTGAGAATCTGTTAAGATATTTATGAGTTTCTCTTTGTGGAAGACCGTCAAGAGTCTTAGTGGGAAACAGATATATTGTATATTATATCTGTTCCCAGATATAAAAGGCCAAAGTGCCCAAAACTAAAAGGAAAAAAACTAAAAGGTCATGTGTCAGAGTGGCCTAGTCAAAGTCTGGGCCATTCGTTTGACACTTGAAATTCACATCCAGTTAGACTGAATATGAACTATTTTACAAAGAGGAAAGAAATAAATATGAATGTGAAATACACATTTAAAAAAAACCCATCTCTAATTTAAGGTAAAAATAATTTTACCGTAAATTAAAGATGTTTTTTTTTTGTATGGAGTACATAGCAAAAGTTTCACAACTGCAATTACAGCAAAAGATGGTCATACGCTTTGATTTTTCCCTTTTCCAAAACATTAAAATAACTAGCATGTTTTTCCTTCCACTTCACAATCATGAGCCACTTTGTGTTGCTCTGTCATGTAAAATTCTTACAGAAGACTCAAGAAAAAAATCTGAAAAAGCTGAAGTTCCTTCCTCTTATGAATATAATATATCTGATTTTTACCGCCGGAAGCAGTAAAAATGTGATT